CAGACCTCTCATTCAACATACACTCTCCTGTCCCATGTTTGTTATACTTATCAGTTGTTTATAATATGTATGCTGGTGTAAAAAGATAAAAATGATAATGTCATGAGATGTGAGCCAGCTTCATTGCACACGGTTATAAACCATAATCCACCAGTACGGACAGCTGATAAGAATTCTGGTACCCATTTCATATAGACTGGGTGAACCCCGGCAGCCGCCCGGTTTCGAACACCGACCGTGGGCTGCAGCGAGTCACAGCTGGATTTGAAAGCGAGCCTCTTATGGACTGCGCTAACGCAGAAAACCACACTACCCATATCTAGAACTGGTTGCCGTATGGAATTATAGTCGTATCCACGTTAGTATATTTTTGCCCTATCTAAGAAATGCTATCATGGGCACTTATCAAAATTAATGAGCTGAAACTATTAACAGAAAGATGTTAAATGGTCGTTGATGTACCATTTAAAATAGTGTTAGCAAATATATTGTTTCGTGGCTGTAATGCTTTAATTATTACTGGTTATTGATTAGTAAGGACTACCATCACAGCACTTGCTACAGATACATAGGTGCTCCGATCTCCTCCTCAGTAGCTCCGCAAGAGTAAAATCACTGGCTACGCCCATTATGTGTTGTTGTTTATAAGTCAAATGTCTTGTGCCTTTATTAGAATGTGACATCTGGTTGCTCCAGGTTGCACTCCCATTGCCACCAACCAGGACAGGTGTACTGATTCGAGCGTGTTGTCACGGTTGCTGTTTGCTATCTGTGTAGTGAAATAGGAAGGCGGGCAGAAGGGGTTAAATAAATAAAGCATACATTTCAGATCACCATCAAGGCATACTAATCCATCACTGTGTGACATGACAGAAATGGGTGATTAGAAAGCTGGCCTGACCAGCGATACAGAACATCTGCACAGTGACCAGAGTTGAATTGAGTGCGGTTATCATGGTAAAACCATGACATCTGACAGTGAAGGATGAAAACATACGACAGAGAGGGAGGTCGACGAGTGCCCCAGAGCCACGCGATGCACGTGTCCAACTGAAGATACGTTTATCCAAACGTGACCACCAGAGACAGATGACAGGGGGTGATTGAGAACCCACGCGAGAAAGAGAGGGAAAGCGAGGGGAGGTCAGTGAGTAGCGAGCGGCTTGAGAGAGCAGGGGAGACAGTCAGTAGCGAGCCGCTTGAGAGACGAGTTGGAAAAACTAGAGCTGTGCTTCGTTAGAAGATATATATTAAACTTGGAGTTTAGTTAAGAGAGTGATTAAGGAACTCAAAGAGGTCATACGAATAGCCAGTAATAAGATAATGGAGTGTTCCTATACTATTGGTTATTGAAATGATTCATTCTGTTTGACTTGATAATATTGTTAATAAACAAACTCCTGTGTAATTGTTACATCACTGGCCTTGTTCAAGAGAGCTACGAACTATATCCATAACACACTATGTCCGAATTAGGCACATCTATTTCTTGGGGGATGTGAAGATACAACTGTGTCACAAGTGCATCTCGCATGGCATTAATGAGATCCTGTCCGGTTCTTGTTCGATGAAGCCAGCTTGGATTTTCTTGAGCATATTTGTCAGAGACCTTATTCCTGTCGTACAGGTATGTGGCTCGTTGGTAGTCTACTGACACACAATCTATCCCTATAACACACTAAGCCAAACACTTACTGAACACGCACATCAATCTTTAATGTATAGAACAATTAACAGTAGGTAGTCAACCCCAAGAAACAACGGTTCCCCCACAATCCTCTAAATGCCGCTGTGAGGATTTTCAAATCGCCATTCACTCCCGGGCCTTCCAGTTCTACATATAATACCTTGGCCGAAATCACCCTTGTTTCCGATGCAAGCTTTTGTCTTCGTCTTTGGACCCCACATCAGGAATATGGAGCGTCTGAAAAGTGCGGGCCGATGTGTGAGGACAGAACAAGTCCTGAATTACTACACTAATCCAGCTAACAGAATCAATCCAATAGTTTGCGAACTACATATATAAATTACTGCCCCAAAATCCGTTCACTGCTTAAAACGACACACCGGTCAAACAGGCGCAACGTCTTGTCCAGAACTCTCTCTCTCTCTCTCTCTCTCTCTCTCTCTCTCTCTCTCTCTCTCTCTCTCTCTCTCTCTCTCTCTCTCTCTCTCTCTCTCTCTCTCTCTCTCTCTCTCCTCGTTCAAGTCAAAACCCGTCTATTTTGTAGCCAGTTTGCAGTTTTGTCGCTCAGCCCAGGATCCTTGTGATTTCTTTAGCAGTTCGTTAGCAAGTCAGTCTTGACTTTCTGGTAACCTCGGTTCCTGTCTCTGAGCTAACAGGTCATGTCTGGGTGACTAAGTACAGACACTGGCATTTACTATAATCTCCCATTATATCCCATACCTGCATTGGCCTCTGACAGTATTCTTGAAGTTACTTAGTATGGAGGCATATGTGAACTCTTTGAGTACCCAGTCATGTCATGTTTGTGATAGGCTGTTCCAGTGCCATAGTTTATGTCAAACTATTAGTGGCTAATTTCAACTTTGCTAAAACAATGCGATCGTATTATTTTTATTATTATTATTATTTGTTTATTGTATACTTTACTCATAAAGTGCTAGAGCATAAACTGAAATTTGCTAACGTAGCTATACATTTCCAACTATAAGAATATTTCATTTGTTTAATTTCATAAAAATAAAAACAGCTTCAACCGATAGTTTTTTTTTTTTCTCTTTTTTTTTCAGAGCCATAATTTATAACAATGGCTGGGGACAAAAAACTATATTAGGGAGTCGACTTCTAAAATCCATGAAACTGTTTGGACCCAGAACATGTTTTTTTTTTTTAAATCAGTTACTGAAACAGATTATTTAAATATGGAAACTTTTCTATCAAATGGAATGGTTGGACACTTTGTATAGTGAACACACAGAGGCATGTGGTAACTAATGCAGCATATTTAAGCAACTTATGCTTCTTTGAAACCGCTTGTTAACCGCACGTAAGGTCTAGAAATTATGTCCTAATATATGGAAGTGAATCATGGACAGTTGGTAGATAAGTGAAAAATCATCTGGAACCTGCCGACATGTGGTTTTATAGACGAATGATGAGAATATCCGGGACAGATCAGACAAGTAATGAAGATGTCTTGAAACAAACTGACTCACGAAGAAAACTGATTGCCGACATCAAAAAGCGACAATCTACATTCTTTTGTCGAGTGATTAGAAGAAGAAAACTGGAGTACATGGACATAGTAGGAAAACTGGTGTTCAAGAGAGGCAGAGGGAGACCGAGAAAAAAAAAATGCTGGACAGTTTGACATTATTTTATGAACAATCATCTGTATCAACGTTGACTGAAAGTACACGAGATAGAAGGTTGAGGATAGACATGACTATCAACATCACACGGCATGGACTTTGAGAAGAAGAAGATTTTTAAGAATCGTGGAACTAATGGACTAACGTAGTTTAAATTCGTTAACAGATTTTTAAAATAAAATATATAGGTACAAAGAAAAGGCAAGCGTTGTTCCTTGTTCATGTGATTGGGAAAGGGGAAGGGGTTTTTGCTTTGGTAAATCTTAAAGATAGGCGGAAGAAGAGGCAGAGGCAGATCGAGAGAGAAGGTGATAGATGGATTGGGATGGTGGCACGGAAGGATGTCATGGGTGGAACTTATCCAAAGGACAAGGGAACGAGATCGGTGTAGATGCATGAACGCCTATGCCAGTAGGCAGGGCACGAGAAGATGATGATGATTCTGATGATGATAATGAATGAGATTTAGGCTCAGGAAGACTTCTAAAGTCAGGGATCCATTTCACGTCAATTACGCGTGAAACACATGACGCTAAACTCGTTGTTTTATAGACCAATCAAGGTTCGTGCTGTAGATTTGTTTTCAGTGTGAGGCAAGCCTTTTAAATGCCGCCCCTAAATGTTTAAACTGGTGTTTTTTTCCCGCTGCTTTTGTCGCATTCTTGTCGTCTCTCTGTATCAAAGCCCCTTACAGCCCTGGGCCAACCAGCACTTGAATCATTTGTCAAATTCACTCTAGCTACCTTGACATCCCAGGATATTACCTAGTAATCATTCTAGACTGGGTCTACCTGCGATCCAAGGGCAGTTTTGAAGAGGGTAAAGACTGTAGGTGTGTGATTTTGAGTCCCAAGCCTTCGGACACCAGGCGAACGTTTAGCCCCTACGCTGTCGCAGCTGTCGGTTGCACCATTAAATTGATTCTTCTTCACGCTTTAAAACGTTTTGATGATGTAGGACTAGACCAAAATTGTGAAGACCAATGGTCACTTGGTGGGTGATGTGGTCAACATCACGTCCGCCGCCTTTACTTCCCAGGATTGTATTGACCTTGTACCCGTTTAAGGCAGGAAACCCCGTAGTCTAGCGGCTAGACGCTCGCCTACGGATCGGAAAGTCGTGGGTCGGGTCCTTAGAGGGACCAGACTGTTTTCAGAAATTGACCTTTGCTCAAGGTGGACCCAGCCTTGAGTAAGTACCAGGTACAGTCCTGGGAAGTAGAGGTAGCTGGCGTAATGCTGACCAGATCACCTATCAAGTACCGTTTGGGTAATAAAAAAAAGGTCTAGCCCTATATACTCTTTTCAACGCCTAAAGGCGTGGAAAAGGCTCCCTCACTTTACTTTGACCCATTTAAGGCTGGGAGCCAATGTTGTTTGTAGAAAAGTCTGCTTCCGTCAGACCCTGAACACAGAACCTTTGTATCCGCAGGCGACCACAGTTTAAGCTGTTAGTAAACAGTCAAAACGTTTGATTGCTAAAACCGCCAATCCTGCCATGTCTTTTTTAGGCACCAGCTGTTCAAAAATTACTAGTCTGGATGTTTTACAATGAAATTTATGTTTTTCTTCAGGCAACGAGAAACAGAACAGACGTATCTATATAAAGTCGGCATGAGTCAAAGACAACTCGGTTGTTATGTAGTAGTTCTAGTGATGGCGACCATGATGTTTCACATCTCGTTTACTGAAGTTTATACATCGTCCAGGAAAATCCAGGATATGGTTTTACAGGAGCAGCAAATTTTGAATAATTTACAGGCAGCTGTTACAGAATTGAGGAATGAAACAGCTTTGTTGTTATTCTCAAAGTAAGTTGTAGGATTTTTAGATATTTTTTCCTTAAAAAAGGTAATATTGATGAATATGTTGTTTATATATTCTGGAAGCCAAATCAGAATACTCTTGTTTCCTCGTTCAGCATTTTTCGTTAGTTAGTTAGTTAGTTGGGTTATCATCATTGCACTCCGGATATGTCCATAGGTGCTCAGATCCTCCCCTCAGTATGAATCCCAACATCCGATGGCTAATAGTACCAGTTCTATGTTGATTAACAAGTCTTCTGACGTGTCCGGTGTGCGTCTCGTTTTTTGCTGTGCCGATCTTAATTCCCAAGTCTGCCATTCTGGCGAGTGATGTGGATTCACTGCCACCAAAGTCCTCTATCCTTCCCATTTCTCTGAGGGCATTGATAATATCAGCATGATCCATAGGCCGACCGTCGGTAGTGATAGCGGATCCAGCCAACCTGTCAGCTCTTTCATTTCCATCGACGCCTGCGTGTCCCGGAACAAAAATAAAGGTGACTCCTCGCACAGTGGACTTCTGAATTGATTCAAGCCATTGTCTTCGCACTGAACCTGCCTGAACCCTCCGGATCATACTCATTGAATCACTGAGTATACATATGCGGGTGTATTTTTGTGTTTCAAGCCAGGCAAACGCTTGCGTCACTGCCATCACCTCCATCGTCATGCTGCTGGTTGTCATGGAGAAGGCGCCGTTGGCTTCTTTGACTGTTCTGCCCGCTGAGCGTGCTGTAAATGCCCATGCGCTTCTTCTTTGGCGTATAACTGATCCGTCTGTATAGATTAGTGCATCTGCTTCGTCTGAATTTTCACCGATGAGAGCGTTGACCTCTGCATTAACAGCAACAGGATTATCTTCTCTACATCGCCTGTTGAGTGTGACAATACAGGAAAATGTTCAAATAAACGCCTGAGGCACAGGTATCCATTCTGCACCAGGTATGATGTCGGTTAGGCTGCATATTTGCCTAATAACATCTTCTGCCCTACCTAGCCACGATTTTCCCCTCTTCAGTCTGTCGCCCTTTTCACTAAAAAGCGCTTGATGCAGTGGGTGTTTCTTATCAGCACATATTTTGAGGTATGCCCGAGCCCTCCACATCCCGATCCTTTGGTTCATTGTTGGAAAGTCAAGTAGATACCTCATTGCTCCACAAGATGTGTCTCTTGTACATCCCAAAATAATACGCATGGCTTCATTTTGCACCTTCTCGAGTCGTTCAATCTGGGTAGCACTGACAGTGAGGATGGCCAGAGCGTATTCAATGGGGGAAAGGACCAGACCATAGAATAGAAGCATCAGCAGTCTTTGCTCGATATTGGAAGCAGCCATAATCCTCATTGCAGATAGACCTTTGCGTGCTTTTGTTATCGCATGGTCAACGTGTTCCCTGAATGACAAGCTGCGATCGAACCTCACCCCGAGAAACGTCATAACGTTGGTTCTGATCAATATATTATCACGCATTTTCACTTCTGGTAAGTCCGACTTGACAATGTGATTGTTCAAAGAGAACCATGACACTGATGCCTTCGAAGGATTGACATAGGCATTGGAACCATCACACCAGGCGGCAATTCGATCGAGTTCTTTGTGCATTGTGCTGGCGATCTCCTGTCTATCACGCCCTCGTCGATAAATCAAAATGTCATCAGCAAATGACAAAGTCCTCCCCTTTCCATTCAACTGCTGCTCAGTGATCATCACCGTATAAACGTTGAATAAGACTGGTGATAGCGGTGATCCCTGTGGCAAGCCTGGACATATCGTTTGCGGTTCTGAGGACCAGCTACCACATCTTAGTACAATCTTTCTCTGGAACAGGACCGCAGCAATCCAGCGGATCAGAATAGGATTGACTTCTAGTTTAAGCAGTAATTGCATTAAATAATCATATGGTACTTTATTGTAGGCATCTTCTAAGTCCAACACTGCCGCACATGTCTCTTCTTTAATCTGAAATCCCTCGTACACATCGTAGGCGAAAACAGCAGCATTGGACCATGTCTCTTTCTTCAATCTGTACCCTCCAAGTGTTGATGGGAACTTATCATGTAGTTCCAAGTAGGTGGTCAATCTTTGTGCGACAATTTTTTCCAAAAGTTTGCCAACAGTATTCTGCATCGAGATGATTCTGTAGCCGCAGATCTTTGAGTGGTCTTTATTAGGCTTTGGTAGTGGAAACAAATAACTATGGAGCCATTCCTCTTGTATCTGGCCACTCTGGATGCTGATATTGAATTCCTTTGCCACGCTTTTCAAATCAGCATTCGACATCATCAGCATGTCATTGTATCGGATGCCGTCAGGACCTGGAGCAGTGCTGCGCGATTTCTTGAGGCAAGTTCTTAAGGTGTCTGCAGTGATTGTGAAATCAGTGCCTAGCTCAGTGTTCTCGCACAGCATCGACAGTTTCATCTTAACCCCTATTCTTGCAGCTTCGTCTTTTTGGTCAGTTTGCTCCAAGTAGCGCGCAAGGAGGGTTTTTTCCTTTATCAGCATCAGTTCTCTGCCATATCAGGTCTGTACCCTGAAAATCAGGGATACCCCTTGGTCGTGCGGCGCCGTGCATGCTCCGTTGAAGGCGCCAGAATGTCACAAGAGATCCCTCGGAGCAAACGCTCTTGCAGAATTCGTTCCATTTCGCTGTCTTGGCTTCTTTCGCAATTAACTTGAAAGCCACTGTCCGCTTGTTGACCTCATCTTTCAGACTGATCAGGCGTTCAGAAAGTGACGGATCAATTTTCCTTGCCTTTTGCCATGCCTTGACAGCGTTCCTTTTTTCTAGCCACGCTATGTTGACTACTTCATTCCACCATGGTGGCTGGGCCCATCTCTCCCGCCGTCTGCGATCTGCTCTTGTATTACGTCGTCTGATTTTGCTAATGGCATCTTGCCCTGTACGGTCATATATAAAAGCAGGCACATTGATTACATGACCTTTGTTGTTGCTCTTCTCCACCAGGACGACGCACGGAAAGTGATCACTGTCATGGTATCCCAGTGTGCTCCACCTGCATCCTGGTGCAATGGAGGGAGACACTAGGGCCAGGTCAATTACGCTGTCAGAATCCCCTTGTCGGGTTGCTATTCGGGTAACCTTTCCGTCGTTCAAGCATACTAGATCGGCAGACACTAGAGCATCCTCCAGGTCTTCCCCCTGTTTATTGGTGATTACATTGCCCCACTGGTTTCCTCTGGCGTTGAAATCTCCGCAGTAAAGGACTTTCTTTTCCTCAGTCTGGAGCAAACTCTGCCATTTCGCTGTATCCACCTTTCCATTGCAGGCGTACACATTGACAATCACAAACTGGGCCGGGCCTATCACTCTGACTGCGTGTACTTGTAGGTCGTCATTATCCCACTCAGACATGTCCACCTCAGACACCAGTATGTGGTCACGAACAAGAATGAGCTGTCCGAGGTGCCGTCTATTGTAGAAGGATTGGAAGCCCGCAATTTTAACCATCTCGTCACCGAGGTGTGTTTCCTGTAGGACAACAATGTCGTTGCTGTAGAGGAGCTTCTCGAAAATGGGTCGGCGTTGACTGAACGAAGCGCAGTTCCAGTAGAGAACGCGAACATACTTTAAGCTGAGTCTCTCACATTTCAGTCGCTTCCTGCAGGCGCCACCGTGCTTGCCTGTTCGCGTTCTCCTTGTCCGTCTACGGGTTGTTTTGAATTGGTAGATAGTCGCCATCGGACGTTGAATACACCCTGAGGGAAGTCTGAACTCACGTGCATGTACTCCATTGCACGGTTCAGACCCCATTCCGATGAAACTTTCACATTATACGTGAGCGAAAATAGTTAATTTGCGCCATTCGCCTCAACGGACGAAAAAGCGTGCCGCCATTGTGGCTGTTTACACCGGAAGCATTTTTCGTACTGATCGAAAATGTCTAAACTTTAGTTGTTTTTTTTTTTTTTTTCATGAAACGTGAATCCTTTATCTCCTGGCACACCCTCTTCAAATAAAAAAAAAAACTGTACGGTTTGATCAAGTTCCTCCTCTCTAAAGCGCAACGGCTCGGAGAAACTTAAGGTCATTGCAGCCTTACCCCTTTCTTGGTTGCATTGTTTACTTCAAAGAAAATGTTGCACTAAAGCGTTTGAATGCGTATTTATTAGTTTAGAGGTAGGTGCTAGTTAACTTGCATTGGTCAAACAGAAAGGCAACTGGAAAACAAAGTAGTAGAAATCATCCCAAGCTGACTACACACCTAATCGACGAGAGATCATGAAATGGAGTCATGACCAACTAGAATAGAAAAGTCTAATCCGACTACGTCCATACATTATGTGAAATTTTGCCTAAGCAGTGTTAGTTAAAATTTACAGTTCCACGGTGTGAAGATAAAGCTGTATGGTGGTTAAGCGTAGACTCCAAGGTGTTGACATGGTGACACTAAAGTGTTGTTGGTGTGATGTACACTGTAGCAAGAGATAATGTCATTTGTTTTGCTCCATGTTTGTTGTCCGTATCTACATCCTAGCACATCGATCTGTCTCATTCGAGCTCCGTCCTTCAGTTCAGCAGCCATGTCATTGTCCTCATGCTCAGCTTACTCAATAGTTGTGAACTGGCTTATCGTTTTCTTTGCCCTGCACCCTGTTTCTGCATTCTTGCCCTCGTTTTAACACCCATTTCCAACAAGCAGTTTGTCGACTCTGACACATTTGTCTAAATATCTCTCTCTTCTTCTTCTTCTTCCCGTTCACCAGCTGTAAAATCTGACGGAAAGTGCTGGTTGTTTGTCTACTTCTGGACCGCAGTCCTGTTCAAAAAGTTGAATGTTGCGTGTGCATCCGTTTGACAGATCTGACTAATTTGTATGCAGACTGTTGATTCCTTGCCTCTCAGGCAATGCACTCCGACTTTGAAGGAAGCTGCCAATTATTCAACTCTTACGACGCGCTTTTGGGTAGGCAGTTGATCTCTTCTAGTTTTCCCTATAACAGGACCCCGGAACCCACACGGGGAAAACGTCTCTTTAACACAGCACATTCAGTATTTCTGTCATGTACATACGTCTTCGTCCACTATCCGCTGCAGATGCTAGCAATATAATTCGTTTTAAAGGATTCGTGATTTGTGCTACATTACGTGTAGATGCAATATCTGAAGCAATGCATCTGACGTACAGGAGAAAGTACTTTGCAATAAATAGTTTGTGATCCTATTATTTAAATTCACAATGGGTAAAATTTCTTGAATATTAAGAAAGAATTGGAAAACTGAGGAAAAAAAACCTAATCTCTTTAAGTGAAATTTCCCTTCAAGCAGTGGGTGAAAAAAAAAGAAAGAAAGGGGGATGTGTGGAAAGAATTAGCAGAAATAAATATAAGTAAACAAATACAAATAAGGTTAGAAAATGTATAATATACTGACCATTTGTAGCAGCCAACGGAAATTACCATAGTATTAGAATGTACACTGATAGTTTTTTTTTTTTTTTTTTAGAGTAGAAAGACAAATCCTGACCACTTTGTAAATCAGAAATGAACAGAAAGTCTACAACTATTACATGTAGACTACAACCATTCACTAATTTGTGACTGAAGAGAATATCTTTATAAAAGAAAGGAAATGAAATGACAGATTGATTGGATGTGAGCATTGGGAGAGAGCTAAACAACTTCGTGTCATCGAAGTGAGGACAGAATGCTGGAGCTGGATAAGACAATTTGAGAAAACCTAGTAAAAGGCAACTAGAATGTTGTTGTACTGGAACCCCACACAAAAAAGAGTCCAAAGTCCTGAGTAGTTAACGTCATTTCGATATTTACTCCAGGAAATGAAGATGTGCTGGGAAAAGAAAAGGGAGACAGGCTGGATGGTTGCGCAGCACTTAACGGTAAAATTATGCGGGACACACGAGATCTTGTTGTCACATCCTTGGGAGTAAGTGAACAGTGCGTAGTTACAGATGGATTATCACGGTCTGATGAGAATAGTGCAGCGGGGAGCGACCAGTAGGTCAGGGTGACACTCGACACTCAGGAAGGGCACGGCAGGCATACATTGTGGCTGCTACTTGAACTAACGGAATTAGAAGTCGTCGCTGGTTTTTGAAGATTGAGACGGAGCACTTATGAGAGTGGCCTAAGTGAAAATAAAATTTAGACTGTGCCGGCCAACGAGGTATAGTTGTCTTGTCTTGTCTTGTCCACAATTGCCTCACAGCGTAGTGGGGAGTCGCAGTTTTCTATCCTAGGCCAGGTGTGTTGCACGTGTTGTTGTTAGTCCGTGTTGCCTTAGGATCTCTGATATATTGTCTATCCATCGTACTCTAGGTCTGCCTCTTGCTCTAGGGCAGTAGTGCTGTTCGTTGTATGCTCGTAGAGGCAGTTGGTCGGTTTGCATTCGCATCAAGTGGCCAAACCACTATATTTGTTGCTTCTTTATGTATTGCAGGCATGGTGTGGTTCCTACAATTGATCTAATGTTCTCGTTTCGAACTCGAGGTATAGTTCAATGAACAAAATATTATATTGAATCGGTATTTGAATGACCGATTTGAAAGTCAATTTGCAATAGCCACACAGCTTCTTCATTTTAAAGTAAGATTATAATAGATAGGCAAAGCAGGCTCTCAGTCAATTTATATCAGCACAAAATTCTAACTTTCTGTCTGTCTATCTATCTGTCTGTCTGTCCATCCGTCTGTCCGTCCGTCCATCTGCCTGTCTGACTACTTTTCTATCTACACAGCTATCTGTCTGCCTGTCTGTCTACTTGTCTGTCTGTTTTTTCTCTGTCCACCCATCCTTCTATAAGTCTAACTATCTGTCTGTCTATGTGTCTAAATGCGTCTGTCTGAATGTCTATTTATCTATTTATTTACTGCCTTCTTATATAGGCCAGCTCTCTATAACTTCTTCCCTTCCATCTCTCTCTCTCTCCATCTTTCTCTCTCTCTCTCTCTCTCTCTCTCTCTCTCTCTCTCTCTCTCTCTCTTTCTTATTTTCTCTAGTTTTGTCTTTCTCGCTTTATCTGTCTTTCTTTGAACTTGTCGCATTGTAACTAATTCTCTTCTTTTCCTTTTCTCTCTTTTCCTTTTGCCTCGCTCTTCTCTCTTTCTTTCCCAATTTCCGGCTTTCTTTCTGTATTACTTTCTGCTTGTTTCTCTTACTCACTTTCTCTCTCTCTGTCTGTCTCTCTCTCTCTCTCTCTCTCTCTCTCTCTCTCTCTCTCTCTCTCTCTCTCTCTCTCTCTCTCTCACTGTTTCCTTCTCTTTTCTTTTCTGCGCAATAACACATAGACCCATGACACACCACCTCTCAGTCACCATGCAACTCGACAGATCGTTAATACAGATCGAAGACAAATACGTGACTGTCAAATATGGTTCTGTAATCATTCTTTAATCCCCCGTAAATCCTCAACAGTTCATGTATCACATACTGGGTTTTAAGATCAAACTTTTCCCATAGTGTACATAGAATGGATACACACATGTAAGTACTTGGAACCGCTGACATCGCTGAAATATTAAGGGGTGGGGGGCGGTGGGGGGGGGGGGGTGGGGGAGAAATTGAACACACGAGCATTGATCAAATTTATGGAAGGTAAAGTAAAGGGATTACTGAATAATTTAGAGCTCTTCAAAATGTCTGCGGCGACACATTAATGTGTTGGCTTTAGTGAGAAGGTGTCTGAAGCGTACCTAAATTATAAAAATAATATTAATCGTAGTAAAGGTTTATGTTTCCGTATCTTTTAAAGAGGGTTGATATAACAACGGTTTCGCCAGTAGAGTCGCAGTGGTTTAGCGGAAAAAAAGTTCACTTGCGGTTTCAAAGGTCGTGTGTTCAAATGCGAACGGACTTATTCAAAAAATTATCTTGGCTCCTAGGCTGATACAGGCCGGCCCAGCCTTAACTGGGTACCAGGTGAAGTCCTGGGAAGTAAAGGCTGCCGGTCCGACGTTGACTACATCCCTCAACCAATGCCGGTTAGTTAATAAAGTATCGGTTGGCACTATATTTCCAAAACTTGTAAAGGCGAGGAAGAGTCCTTTCATTTACTTACAAGTCGACTAAATTACCTTGTTGTCAAACTGTGTTAATCTAAAACAGCTTTTTCCAAACTGTTGGAATAGCATTTCTTTGGTGGAACTCCCGTTAGTTAAAATGTGCTTCATAAACTATAATTTCATTTAGTGTTTACTTTTTTTTCTTGGGAGCCTCTCTGTCTCTGTCTCTGTCTCTCTCTCTCTCTCTCTCTCTCTCTCTCTCTCTCTCTCTCTCTCTCTCTCTCTCTCTCTCTCTCTCTCTCTCCGAGAGGCTCTTTGTTTTCAAACAGTGTCCAGTCATCTTTGCAATGAGACGAATTTCTGTTACCACTAACCACCGACCCATCTGATCTGTGTATTTAATGATATCACATGCAGGTATGAAAGGGGTTCTTTACTTTATTTTGTTCTCCCGGAAAAGCCGAGGAACAGCTTGGAAAATGCACTGGTAATCAATGATTTAACAAACGTCTACAAAAACGTCATAATTAGTTCGTTAATATTGTTGCTTCTATCTATCTATCAAAGCACCTATACTGAAGGTAAGCGGCTAATTAACTACCACATCGACAATATATATATATATATATATATATATATATATATATATATATATATATATATATATACACATGCCGTATGAGTCAGGAATGGACGAAAAAAACATGTACAAGAAGTACGAGGATCTTGTGGTTGGTTTGATGACAGACGAAGCGTACACAGTAACAATCTTTGCCGTCGAGGTAGGCGCAAGAGGTCTTATCTACACTTCCATGTACAATGTCCTAAAGCAGCTGTACTTGTGAGGAAACGAGCGTAAACGGTCACTAAAACAACTGACGAAGCTGCAGGAAGAGCTGGACGCAACGGAACGTCGTGGGTGATGGGCCACGGTAGACTGGTCCGAGTCTCTAGTGGAAAAGAACGTCTTATTCCTTGAAAGCCAAAGTGTCCGATAAATGTCTACCAGTGTCTTTCTGCCGAATTCCAAAATCCAACATGTGTCCGATGAACCAACCATTGGCTTGTCACTCTGATCGTTAAAGTAGTCAACTGGTCTAATTTGCGACCGCAGCGACAACATAACACCAATCTCACAGCACCTGTTGCAAAGTAACCATATGGTCTTGTCCATATCGAGTCCGACTGAGTGCAGCAAGATGAGATCAGGGGCCTGGCTTCATGACCCAGGTCGGCCCACCTTCCGAGATTGTTTACTGAAGCAATGGGCCAAAACAGTTGTCGACTAAGGATCTCTACTGATGACAGGTGGACCCATGCTGTGCATGCTTCCGTGTGAAGTTCTTATATATATATATATATATATATATATATATATATATATATATATATATATATATATATATATATATATACATATATATATATATATATATATATATATATATATATATATATATATATATATATATATATATATATATATATATATATAAACACCAAGCACACAATACCTGTTTGCCATAATTTCCTCTCGTCCGATGTCTGATAAGGGCAGCAGGAGTGACTGAGGCCTGGGTTCATGAACCACGTCGGCCCACCCTCTGAAATTGTATAAGAAGTAATGGACCGAAACAATTATCGACGAGGGACCCTTTTACTGATGATCGATAAAGCTTCTGCTGTGCATGCTTCCTTGTGGAGTTCTTCTTATCATACTGTTTCGGTCATAACAATGCCCCATAGTTACAGAGCGTTGTTTCATTTCCCTTAACTATTGTAAACATCTATGTACAGATTCTACAGGGACCGTGTGTTTAAAGTTGAAAAGCGCCGATATGCTACAAATCCTCGGGAAACTCTGAGCCACCCCAATGGAATTTACTTCTACATCAAACATTTTGCTACCGATTATGAGAATATTAGGTCTGTCCTTGGTAAGTATGGGAACATTAGTTCTTTACCCTATAGGTATGAGAACATTATATATATGTGTGTGTGTGTGTGTGTGTGTGTGTGTGTGTGTGTGTGTGTGTGTGTGTGTGTGTAGGTATGAGAACACTGGGTCTGTACTGAGGGGGTATGAGAACATTGGGTCTGTACTGAGGGGGTACGAGAACATTGGGTTTGTACTGAGTAGGTATGAGAACATTGGGTCTGTACTGAGTAGGTATGAGAACAATGAGTCTGTACTGAAGGGGTATGAGAACATTGGGTCTGTAATGAGGGGGTATGAGAACATTGGGTCTGTACTGAGTAGGTATGAGAACATTGGGTCTGTACTGAGTAGGTATGAGAACATTGGGTCTGTACTGAGGGGGTATGAGAACATTGGGTCTGTACTGAGGGGGTACGAGAACATTGGGTTTGTACTGTGTAGGTATGAGAACATTGGGTCTGTACTGAGTAGGTATGAGAACATTGGGTCTGTACTGAGTAGGTATGAGAACATTGGGTCTGTACTGAGTAGGTAGGAGAACATTGGGTCTGTACTGAGTAGGTATGAGAACATTGGGTCTCTACTGAGGGGGTATGAGAACATTGGGTCTGTACTGAGGGGGTATGAGAACATTGGGTCTGTACTGAGTAGGTATGAGAACATTGGGTCTGTACTGAGGGGGTATGAGAACATTGGGTTTGTACTGAGGGGGTATGAGAACATTAGGTCTGTACTGAGGGGGTATGAGAACATTGGGTCTCTACTGAGGGGGTATGAGAACATTGGGTCTGTACTGAGTAGGTATGAGAACATTGGGTCTGTACTGAGTAGGTATGAGAACATTGGGTCTGTACTGAGTAGGTATGAGAACATTGGGTCTGTACTGAGAGTGTATGAGAACACTGGGTCTGTCCTAGATAAGTAATAGAGCATTAGTTTTTTTTTTTTTTTTGCTAGGTTAACACTTCGAACGTGTGCAAATCTCAGTAAAAGGTAAAGTCGGGAGATGTGAATAAGCGTCATTGCTTATGGTTACAAACCATAAGTGCTCTGCCACCAGTACGGACAGCTGATAAGAAATTGTCAGCCTGTGTCGCCGTCCGAACAAAACTCCGTAGCTACAGCGACGTTCCTCCGTTTACCCTAGAGTGTTAACTCTGGTACCCATTTCCTAGAAGCTGGGTGAACCCCGGGGACAGCCCGGTTTCGAACACCGGCCGTGGGCCGCAGCGAGTCGCAGCTGGATTTGAAAGCGAGTCTCATTTCGACTGCGCTAACGGTGCCCCTCAGTAAAGTGTGGCCTGAAAATAAATCGTATTTTCAGAATATGTTGCTTAAGAAACTGTGGGTCTTAAAATAATGCAGGTCTTGGTTGTCATATCCATGCTCCTATTGTACAACCCGAAATATTGTGTTTGTAACTAACTCGCACAATCTGCTTCGGGGGATCGGTTTTCTAGTTTTTACTAGACAAAGTTTTGTGTGGATTTTCTGTCCCTCGTTTACTGCTGTACAGGGAACTGAACTTGTTGATAGTTTGGCTGCTTCGTTACACTGAACAGTTAGTTGCTCTATAGGGAGCGATGTAGGCATTTCTTTTTTTTTTTTTTTTTTTTTTTTTTTTTCTTCATATTTAGTTTTCTTGTATGATGTAATCTACGTAGAGTGAAAGTATCAATCATGCCCATCTATGTAAATTTATAGGCTGCACAATTACATCGAGTTGAGGGTGCAACAGGAAAAAAGAAGCCTGATATCCATTGTTTGTTTTGTTTGTTTGTTTGTTTTTTTTTTTTTTGGTCTAGTAGGTTGTACAAAGTCTTAAGCGTAATTAATTTTGCGACAAGAAAAGATGATGCGAACATCATCATGTGCCCTGCCAACTGGCGTAGGCGCTCATGCGTATCCACAGATCCGATCCCTAGTTGCCTGGAACAGCTCTCTTGATGATATCCCTCCATGTCATTTGTAGCACAGCTCTCTTCTTTGTTTCGTATGTCGTTGTCACACACAGGTTCGTCTTTAGTTTTGCTGCAGGAGGAGTCGACTGGAAGATTATAGACGAGGAGAAAGATGTTTGTGTCGATAGGGGAGATGATGATGATGTCTTACTATCTACATGCTTCTCGCGTGACTCTTATGCTTGTATAAGAAAATGTCTGGAAACAACAGTTCTCGTCTTTACTGTCTTTATTGTGATACTTCAGCAATGTTACAAACAACATCAATTATATTCTGAAAGGCCGCTGCTTTAGCTCTGACGTTACATACTCGTAGGTTCGCGTTGTGTTCTTCATCTCTAGTTACTTTGGTTCTAGTGTTTGTAACTGCCACCTGGCTTCTAGTGCTGTTTGGTACTAACGGTTTCATCATCGACTCTAACATCTCTATAGTGTACCTACCTAACGATTCTCTGTTAACCATGGATCCAAGTTTCTTGTGTGTTGTATCTGTTGCTCGATGTCTTGTTTTACGTCTCTTCCCTATTGTCTATCTTCGAGACTCCATGTGACTGGCTCCTCTCCTTCTAGTGTTAAACTGGCATCTCTACAACTGAAAGTTCTCTGTGAGTCCCACAGGCTGAAGTCTTGCTCTGAGGGTCCATGTTACTAGTCCCTCCACTTTCTAAGTCTTGTAGACCGAAGGATTTCTTCGAGGATAAATATGACCGGTCCCTCCTCTCTTGAGTTTTGCGGACTGAAGAATTACCCTAGTGGTTTTTCACTCATTATTTATTCTTAAATGCTGGAATGCTAGTACGTTTTAACATGTTTACTATGTGCGTTTACGTGGTATTTTCTAATTATATCGCAATTGCAACAGATTTAATCATCTTTTTGCGCAAATATAGTAGGTAAATTGTCAGTTGACGTCATGTAGACTCCTAAAAAGCAAGTATGATAGGGTAGGTCAACAATGAAGTCAAATACTATTTACAAAATATTGTTGCTAACAGCTGTTGATTTTCTTTTGATTAACCAATACGCAAAATCTACCTTCTGGCAAACAAGTGATGACGTCAATAATTAGTTTTGGCGGGAAATGAAGGTTACCAAAACTTGTTTATCTCGGTACATCCCGGCTCTGCGCTATATCTTAACTCATAATAAACAAGTAATGACGTTTCCTTGTTACACATTGTTTCAGCCCATCCAGCATCACCTCACTTGGTTTGCCTCTACCACTTTTCTACTGATCTTTCCATTTGTCTCTCTTCTCACTATGTGGCCAAAGAGCAGTGTTTGCCTCTTGCTTATTGTTGTCTATCGAGATCTACTTTTATTAGCTTCTTTCAAGCAATCGTTGTTAGTTACTTTGACCGTCCAAGTTATTCGTAACATTCGTCTCAGAAACCACATCTTTGTTGATTCAAAATTCTTCCTAATTTGTTTACTGACATTCCAAGATTCGCTGCCATACAACAGAAGAGGTTCTATGTAACATGATGTTGCAAACAACTCTGCTTAAACATCCATGATATTGAAAATGAATATTTCGAGAAAAACATGAAGAATATCCTTGCAACAGAATAGAGACAAAAATCGGTGGTACTAGGTGATTGCAAAAACAATGTTTCGAGAGATGTAGATGTTTCAAGCTATCTCAAAACTACAAGGAAAGACAAATTATACTGAGTCGAAATGGTACCTTTCCATCTTTTCTATGCTAGTATTTTACTGCGCTATAGGCAGACATAAGAATTGTAGCAGTGTCTGATGGCGAGTGTGACCATAGTGAGTTTCAAAAGTCGTACTCTCACTCTTTCATAAATATTTCGAAAGCTCCTGTACCGATCAAGACGAATTTGTTTCACGTGGTTTAGATTGCACATTTCAGTATTGTTTTAAAACTTACACATGTGCTGCTGTTTTCTCAAAGTCACGTGTGTTTTTTTAAATAACATGTGTACCACTAACACTTAGAATATACAGTAATTCACTTAGTCGTGGAGATTGTTCTAAAATCAATTCGCATGGGCAGGGATGCGAGTAATTATTTTGATAGCCTAAAAAACATACAATGAAAACGTGTGTTCACGTATGTCTTTGGAGGCTGATGCTGGAGATGACTAAATAAGAGTGATACGTTTATGAAACGCGTACAGTGTCATGTTTTGAAAAGTTACTTGATTAACTGCATGCGAGTTGACTGTTCACTTCAAATCATTATTTTTTTATTTTTTTTTTTCATTTAAAACGAGATGTTTGTTAATTGTTTTTTTTTTTTTTTTTTAGTCTTACAAGTCCATGATTATTAAGCAGGGATGCCACGGTTAAAACAACTTACATCGTATGGTTATTTATTTACATATATTTTAAGCTGAACACGAATTTTGGAACAGACTATAGCAAAACAAGCTAGCATTAAGAAGTTGTCCATGATAAATACATACAGTCTTTCGGCCATCGTTGCCATTGCAGTTTGACGTGTTTCTCTTTAATCGCTCAGCGATTTATCCCTGTTCGCTCATTTTCTTTTTTGTGTTTTTCTCTTTCCTGATTTTTAACCCTTCCACGCAGTGCAATTCGTCACATCCTGCGATATATTGGGCACATTAATAGATATTTTAAAATAGAGTATTAGTTGCATATAGTGACATACCACGCAAGAGAATCATTTAAAATGTCAGAAAATATAATAACAAATTGTATTTAAAAAGAGCTAAAATCAACAACCCAACCACTGAACAGCATAATTATCTCGTGTAAGGATACAAGTAAAAAGTAAGTAAAGGACCCTTTTCCACGCCTTTAGGCGTATAGGGCATATAGGGCTAGACCTATATTTTATAGACCAATCGGCACAAGATGGGTGATGTGGTCAGCATCACGCCGGCCACCTTTACTTCCCGGAACTGAACCCAAGGATACAAGGGCCATAAATAATGGCCCTTATCAGTACCTAATAATTCAGGTTAAATTAAAGCTGCTTGTATTCAGATAACGTACCGTGATCGAAACCCACTGCTGGCTGTGTGGATTTTGTCGTGGTACTGGGCGTCGCAGGTCGACTTAGCCTCAAATGCGAACCAGAATACTTGTCCTAGGGAAGTAAAGACGGCCAGCTTAATGCTGACCACATTACCCACCTAGTGCCGATTGGTATGTAAAAATATGGTGCTCCTTCTATATGCCTAATGCGCGTAAAGGCGGAAAAAAGGATCTTTATTTTCTTGTTTGTATACATGTTGCTGTACTGGTTTCGAGGACTGATTCGGTGGTTAGAGAGAGGTCTGTCCCCTAGCGGTGGCTCACCAGCTGCTGTTGACTGTCTGATCCGATCCCTCGGCGTTTGACGCTCAGATGCGATGGACTTATTTGTGCCTCGTAACAAATATCTTGTAAACGTCGCCTACTTAGCAGTTTGTGTTGGGTCGAAAAGCGCAGATATCACAGCCTAGCTGTATGCCACAACACAACACAGCGTGTCAACTCTGATTTAAGGAAGAAAGCATAAAAAGAATGTACTGAGATTTCTGTATCTTTATTTAGAGCACGCACAGTCCTGGTCTGTACGAAAGTATCTGTCATCAGTTGCAGACCAGGCAGATGTCAGAGGCGCCCTGAGATCATTTCTGCGGCTCCAGGTTAGTTGTTGGCTTTGAAAGTATTTTTTATAACCTTATTTACTTTAAAAACAGTCATCTGATTACAGTGGCTGTTGACATGTCACATTTTAATGGCTTTTTATTTCATCTCAGTTACCGACTAATGCTCTTACCCCTTTGGGAGATGAAAAGCAGTAGACGAAATCATTATTGTCAGTCACTTAAGAAAATATAAAGTGTTTAACTACGGTAGCGTTAACAAAATGTAATAAATATTAAAGCACTCCATTAATTTATGCTCTTATTAACCCTTTCCACTGTATGCTTTTGTTAAATTGACCCTTTCCACTTTATGCTCTTGTTAAAATAATCCTTTTTACAAGATGCTTTTGTTGAATTAACCCTTTCCAATTTATGCTCATGTTAAATTAATCCTTTCAACTTTATGCTCTTGTTAAATTAACCCTTTCGACTATGTGCTCTTTTTAATTTACTTTTTCTTTTCTCCTGTCTACGTTGATTTTGTCATTGTATACTAACAAGTTTATAGTATGGCAGAGTGTTTAAAGGATATTAGGAGCTGCGTGGTTTTGAAGTATGGCGCTCGCCTCGAGTGCTAGAGACGGTAAAGCTGGGATTTTTTTTTTTTTTAAAGTGGACATCAATTAAATTCACTTGGTCTCTGAATAGTAAGAAATTAAAAGTGTTTTACGTAATCAACCAGTATCAGTAGATGGATACACAGTTCAGATAAACTATGTCTCTGTAACTACTTTGTTAACACAACATCTACGCGAGAGTCTCTCTTTACTTAGCTTCCTTCCATTCTGTCTCATTATGCTACGACTCTTTATCTTGAATATGTTTCCATACGTCTCGGTACAGTGGTAGGTTTTTTCGCCGAGTGCTCCTTTGTAGACACGACTATTATGTTGAACAAGATAGAGTTTATAAAGTTAGGTCAGAATCTTGGATCTACGCATTCATCACGGCTTAACACTACATTTCATGTCTATATTTGTCTCCGGCTTTGATCTAGCTAAACCTGCTCTCAGCTGTTCCCGTTTTATCCATATTATTTTAGGGCTTGTAATTTGCCAGTGCTACACTACTTGGCGTCCGTGGCTAAGGCGTTGCGAGTCCGACTCGTAAGCCAGCATACCGCGATCGAAACCCACTGCAGGCTGCGTGGATTTTTGTCGTGGTATGGGACGTCGCAGGTCGACCCAGCCTAAAATGGGTACCAGGATGGGCTGTCCTGGGAAAGTAAAGACAGCCGGCGTAATGCTGACCACATTACCCACAGAGTGCTGATGGTCTGTAAAAATATGGGACGCTCTGCCCATATGCCCGATGCGCCGAAAGGCGTGAAAAGGGAACTTTACTTTTTTTTACACTACTTGGCAGTGTAATTCTCTGCCAAGGACTGTCAATTGGCCAGAGACTAGTTTCCCCTCATTAACCTATGATAACTGTAAAAAAAATATTCCAATTTAATTTATAGGCATGTACTATTCTGACCTCTGCCCATTGCAAATCTTTTCGGGTAGCTGTGCAAAATATGTCATCAATATCTATCATCTGTTCACTTTAAAGTAGATTTGGTCATTTCAGTCCCCTATTGAATCATAATATTGCTATGCAATTTATCCCTATGCACCTCCATACCTGCACAGTTAATTACAGCAGATCCCATATTTACGCTAATATGTGTCACACTGGTTTGAAATGAGATATTAAGAATCTGTAGCCGATAACTGGATCCATAGCTACATAAGACCCGTTCCTAAGCCTGGGAGAGATAAAGAAAAAGTAAATGACTACAGAAGCATTACACTTTAGAACACCGTGGGAAAACTTATAGAAACACATCGTGGCCAGAAAGTTGACCCAAAAATTAGAGTCAAGGGGTCTATGGCACTTATACTGCAGTATTCTTGAGAGCTTACTGGCAGGAATGGAAACTGCCGCAGCCGCCACCGACGTGTACAACGTCGTTATGTACAACTTGCTCATCAGATTGATACTGGACATTTAAATAGAGACGAAATGGGGCAACTGGATCGCAGCAGCGCTCTTTGAAAGAACAGTGTCGATGAAAGAAAGAAAGAAAGAAAGAAAAAGAAAAAGAAAGAAAGAAAGAAAGAAAGAAAGAAAGAAAGAAAGAAAGAAAGAAAGAAAGAAAGAAAAAGAAAAAGAAAGAAAGAAAGAAAGAAAGAAAGAAAGAAAGAAAGAAAGAAAGAATGAAAGAAAGAAAGAAAGAAAGAAAGAAAGAAAGAAAGAAAGAAAAAGAAAGAAAGAAAGAAAGAAAGAAAGAAAGAAAGAAAGAAAGAAGAAGAAAAGAAAGAAAGAAAGAAAGAAAGAAAGAAAGAAGAAAGAAAGAAAGAAAGAAAGAAGAGAAAAGAAAGAAAAAAGAAAGAAAGAAAGAAAGAAAGAAAGAAAAGAAAAAGAAAGAAAGAAAGAAAGAAAGAAAGAAAGAAAGAAAGAAAGAAAAAGAAAGAAAGAAAGAAAGAAAGAAAGAAAGAAAGAAAGAAAAAGAAAAAGAAAGAAAAGAAAGAAAGAAAGAAAAAGAAAGAAAGAAGAAAGAAAGAAAGAAAGAAAAGAAAGAAAGAAAGAAATAGAAAGAAAGAAAGAAAGAAAGAAAGAAAAGAAAGAAAGAAAGAAAGAAAGAAAGAAAGAAAAGAAAGAAAGAAAGAAAAGAAAGAAAGAAAGAAAGAAAGAAAGAAAGAAAGAAAGAAAGAAAGAAAGAAAGAAAGAAAGAAAGAAAGAAAGAAAGAAAGAAAGAAAGAAAGAAAGAAAGAAAAAGATAACAAAAAGCTCACCTACTTACCACCACAAGTTGATGTCTCCAACAGACTGTGTACAACCTCTCAACGTCTGACATGATCAGGGGAAATTACTTCGGACGGTTGGGACCAGAGCTTGGCCAGGAGGACGTCATGGAGATTGGCCGAGCTGCCCTTGACAGTAAGTAAGTTGAAAAGGACACTTCTCTGGTAAGTAGCCTACTAAGAATGTAACCCCAGAGTCATATTATTGTAATCGCCAAGAGACGGTAGGTGTCATACTAATAATAATGCACTGTAGCATTAGGCACTTTGTGAATGGCTAGACGTTGTGTGTGTGGGTGTGTGTGTGTGTGTGTGGGTGTATGTGCATGTGTGGCTGTGTGTGATGTATGTGTGTGTGTCGGATCATGCGGGTATTCGAGGCAACCATCGAGCATAAGGTCTTGCAGACACTGCGGTTGCCGTGACTGGTCCGGTACTGGGCAGAAGAGATGTTGTCAATGCCACGAGCAGCAATTACCGCAAGACGATTACCACAAAGGGAATGCCTCTGTATCCCTATCAGTTAAAGGGCATAGGGGCGCAGCCGGGGGCTACAAGAAAATAATTCACTAAGGTCACAAGACGTTGGATTAATCAACATAGAATAGACATCATCAGTCGTTTAGCAAGTGTGGAGGAGTTCCTTGAGAAGAAGATCGGACCACTTATTGGTCTGTCCTGGATCTCTTCGCCTGCCTTATATCCCCCAATGAAACCAACAGCTGTGATGGTAGTTCTCACTAATCAACAGTGGTCAACTTACAGATGGCAGCTAGAAGGGAAACAGGATAGGAAATAAATGCGCCTAATCTTCCCTCTAATCACCTCTCCACACTGGACACAAGGTTGCTGTTATAGCACGATAATCCAGTATAAATAATTTATACTGTTGAACTGAGTTTATGTCATTTGTTCCTGGATAATTCTCATCCGTATAATAGCTCTTTGAGTCAATAGAAGTTTATTATTTAGAATGCATTCATAGAGGGATATTTTTCATGCCTAATTTAACTGTATTTTACTTTACGTACGCAAATGCCCACCTCGTCACAACCATCCTCATCATAATCGATTTCCACTTCTGTCGTTAAACGTTGTGGGGAGGAACAGTTTACTATCTATTGCTGATGGGTAGGAATGGCTACTATCATTCCGCGTCGATGTAGAAGCACTTTAATGTCATCAGTCCATCTTCTCCAGTGGCGGCCTGTTACTTTCCCTTGAGATCTTTTCATATGTAGCGCCTGCGTTTGCAGTTGTTCTGGCTGCATTCTTACTAAATGACGAAACAAACTGATCTACTGTTTCTCGCAGAATTTGTTGCACGGTGTTGTTCTTACAATTTGTCTGATAGTAGAGTAAAGGACCCTTTTCCACACCTTTAGACATATAGGGCATATAGGGCTAGACCTAGATTTTATAGACCAATCAAACAAGATGGGTGATGTGGTCAGCATCACACTGGCTGCCTTTACTTTGCGGACTGCACCCGGTACCCACTCCTGACTAGGTCGACCTGAGAGCCAAGGTCATTTAAAATAAAAGTCCGGCTCTGCCAGGGAGCGAACCCTTGACCTTCTGATCCACAGGCGAGCGTCTAACCGCTCCGCCACGGCGACACCCAGTCTGTCTGATAATATCGTTTCTAATTTTGTCTCAGATGGTTAAAAAGTCAGCTTTTGTCGAGCATCTCGTGTCACATGGGTTAATATAACGTAGGCTAGCCTTTAACTGTGTCCATGTCTGGCACTGGTAGCACAGTGTTGGTATGAATATGCTGTTTTTAATTTGTTTCTTGCAGCTCATACTTGTGTTTGGATGTTTTAATAACGGTGTCAGTTGATATATAAGAGCACTGGCTCGTTGGCATCTTGTTTCTATTTCTCGATCTATTCTCTCGCCCTCCGAGAATAAATAAACTTACTAGATATTTAAATTTTTTAATTCGCTTCAGACGAGCACCATTTAACCCGATATGTAGCGCATATCAACCACGAAACAATAAAGAAACAATTGAAAAAAGTGGACTGACTTCTGTTGATTTACAGGTGGGAGAGTGGAAAGGGCCATCGAATGGTTGGAGGCAGCCTTACAGCTAGTCGATAACAAAGAACCCACTGTTGGCTTTCATCTTTTTGAATCAGGAACCTCGTTAACGGGACAGATTCAGGCACTTCTGGGCAGAGCATATAATCATGTAAGACATCTATTTCATCACTGTAAACAAAACTGTATTTTCAGGAATGATTTGTTGGTACAATCGAAAGAGGCAGGGTGAGAATGAGTAGAACCATCAAAACGATTTCATGCGAAGAATAAAGGCGGACAACAGAAGGGTTCATAAACATGCAGTTTGGTGAACTGCCTTTGATCGATTAGAACAGAACGGGTGTGATCATTTTTTTTTTTTTTCTTGTGGCGCTACTGAGAAGGGGAGTGATGCATCTACAGATTTTTTGGAGTGCGATGATGATAATACTAAGCAAAGGTCTAATAATGCTAAGCACTATACGAGATTTTGAAGCACATGGATGATTTAGTTGTAGATAGTTTGACAATATCAGAAATATTCGACAACAAACCTATTGCTTTGGAAATACACTTGGGAACTAAAAGAGAACTCTCTCGGAAGCATTTCACAGCACCCAAAAACAAATGAAAAAGGCTAGATAAAACAGGCCAATTTATACCAAAGTGTTCTGGGGGAAAAAAACTAGGGAGAGGGGAAACTCAAGAGAGAGACAGAGGGAGAGAAAGAAAGCAAACGGACGAATGTTATAAAAGAGTAAGCAAAAGTAAAGTAAAGATCCCTTTCCACGCTTTTAGGCGTATTGAGCATATGGGAATAGCGCCCATATTTTTACAGACCATCAGCACTCGGTGGGTAATGTGGTCAGCATTACGCCGGCTGTCTTTACTTTCCCAGGACAGCCTACCCATATAAAAGAGTACTTATGAGAAAATGCAGACTTCATACATTTGACCCTTGCACTATTCATCTCAGACTCAACAGAAAACGATAGAATTTGTGAGAAACTGAATTGTACAAGACAGAATGGGATAGGGATATCCATTGTAGACCGAGTCGGCCAGAGAGCCTTGGGTATTTTTTAAGAAAAGAAAAAACTGCGACTCGATGCGAATTTGAAGCTACTACCTGAGGGCCGCAGGCGAGTATCCAGCCGCCAATCAACGCCGCTTCCATAACAATGATAATAATAATAATAATAATAATAATGTGAAACAAATATTGAGGATGGGGGGGGGGGGGATTGAAACCCCAAAATATCTGGAGGGAGACGGGGCTTCAAGGGACCTTTGTCTACAGGTTTCTGAGCCTATCTATAGCTAACTTTGTAATGCGTAAAGAATTATTTACTTTATTCTTACTAATTTTATAAAACTGTGGTTCTAAGAACGATGCTGGTTTAAAAAAAAAATGAAATAACTGTTTCAGTCCTAGATTATATTGCAGCATTACTTTTGGGAGACCGGGAAAATCCATAAATCAGGAGTATTGTTTATAACGACGCAAAACACACAATGGAAGTTGACAGTGGAGAAGTTAAAGATCGTTGCGTATACTTTACAGGACGTTGCAGAACCAACCCCACCATTGACTGTTGTGGGTTTTTTTAGGCAAATTTACGTCCAGTAGTTTACCATTGCTTTGTGGACTGTCGGCTTCACAATACCACTTTCGAAACTTACGCAAGGAGCTAGGTCTGCAGCTGGGATCAAACCCGGCACCCGAACATTAGGAAGACATTTCATGAGTGATATCTAAATAAATGAGAGAGAACACAGTATGCGATGGTTAGTATGCAATTAGAAGAGCCACAGGCACGCCATGTTTTTTCCTGAGATTGAAGCGTTTACAAGGGGCCACTACTTAGACGTGGGTCTGCCTGGCGGAGTGGTCAAAGCCGTTTGTTTCGCGCTTGGAAGGTCATGGATTCATTTCATGAACCAGTCGTACAGTTCACCAATATAGTTTTTACGGAATTTTCTGGGGTCGTCACTAGAACTACGTGGGTCGTGTCTTGTGCAAATCTTTCGAGAATCAGCTGGCTATTCTACAGTGAGAGCACAAGACATATTTGATAAACCTGTGCAATGAAATTGATCATTTGAATTCTAATTTTAAACACGTGATCCGACATATTTTCATCACTGATCTTCACACATTTGACTATCAAGTTGTAAATACCGACCAGCTTTGTTTAAACTAAAATTTTAAAAATAAAAAACACAAAAAAATTTACTTAAAATAAAACGATTTCGCAAGCTGAATTTAATTCATTGTCTACAGGGACTGTTGATAAATTAAAAATGAGTATATTTGCTGTATGTCACTGGTAAATATAAACATCTTAAAGATTAGTCTGTCATTGTGTTTGCTGGTAATAAAGACAAATCTCAGTTTTTAGTTTATGGAATTTTGGAAGTAAATAAAGTAAATAAGTGTATTGGTATTGTGATAAATAAAAATATGATGTAAGTTCTTTCTCAATGGCATTGAATGTACCGACACAAATGTAGATGTTCTGTTTAAACCACATTAAATGGAAGTAAATAACGACCAGATATTATATGTATCCCACTTTTACAATGTCCCAAGTCTCGCGATAGCTGGTAGAAACGTCAACAGCGGGAGAAAACTGAAACATCTGGGAATTTCATTTGACAGGAGCCTGTCCTTTAAGGCCAGTGTGGATAATGTTGTGACAAGATGCCGAAAAGGACTTAGTGCACTTAAGACAATGGTTGCAATTGACATAGAGCAGAGAATGCTTTTCACACTATATCAGCACCTGATCCTGTCAGGGGTAGATTATGGCCTGGTACTTCTTACCGTCTCAAAGAGACAGATGCACAAACTAAAGCGCTTACAGAGCGAAGCTATGCGGGTCATTCTTGGTTGCACTAGTGGTGTGTATGCGATATATCCTTGATTTGCCGACTGTTGCAGATAGGCACAAGGTGCTGCAGGCGAAGTCATATCCCAAGGTAGATGCAGACACAGATCATCCTTTGCACGAAGCTCTGGGCGTAGTTAATGGTCAGCGGCTAATAAGAAGAAAGTCGTGGATGGCTCAGACTGAAGACATAATTTAGAAAGTTTTGCATCCTTGAAAACATTAGGCGAGGAGAGGAATGGGTCAAAGTGTCACCTTAACAGTCAGACTTGTGTAGGGTCATAATCACATTGAGCTGGGAATGCAGAGACTGGCCAGCGAATGCCACGGAGGTGAAAATTTAGCAATCAATTCAAGATAATGCTCGCTCAGAGGATTTAATCATTTACACAGACGGTTCAGTGTCAAAAGGCAAATGAGGTGCTTGGGGTTTCTTAACAAAAGTTATTGGTCGACGTTTGGTGCAGGAGAGCCTAGCATGCGATACTACAACATTGAGCTTAAGAATGGAGGTTGAGACGATCACTGCAGCTTTCCGCTGGTTAGAGAACACGGCACACACACTTCGTGATTGTAACTGGCTTAGAAAGCATGCTGAGAATGGTCAGGACAGGCATGCTTCGCGCAGAGTGGCAAGCTTCACTGCGGAGGACACGGGTGAGGAGTATTGTCTGGATTTTTTCTTCGAGAGACGCCTGTATGTTGGGAAATGAACAGGTGGACAGACTGGCTGGCTCTGCACAACTTCGTGAAATACTGATGCATGATGAGGCAGCCGTGGTTAGTGCCTTGTGTGAGAGCGTGTACAGTTCGTAGAAGCAGATGGATCATCACAGTCTGAGATTGAAGCAGTAGGGTGTAACGAAGGGTTCTGGCAGATGCTCGGGGCTTAGAGGAAAGACAAGACGGACGCTTAATCAGAATGCTACTGGCACCATTAGCATCGGAACTGAGCTGGCTGCTGAAGATGGGGACTGAGCGCTTTTGGGAATGCCCTGAGTGCTGTGGTCTCGGTTCTTGAATCAAACAAATCATATATATATATATTAGTAGCCGGTACTACCTGTTTCCGCTGAAAACTAATACACAGGCGCAGACCAGTAGAGAAGAAATATTTCATTAATGATATCTGAAGAAAATGAGAGAGAACACAGTATGCAACTGGAAGAGCCACAGGCACGCCATGTTTTTCCTGAGATCAAAGCGTTTAAGCAAACTAATAAATATGTTAGAGACAAAATATACATGTTTGCGGGACATCAGGAGCTTCTCCTGGCAGTGGTAACACTTCGCAAGCTAGCTTGGTTTGGGCACGTGGTGAGACATGATTTGATTGCAAAGACTATATTTCAAGGAACATTGCGGGGTATTCGAAGAAGATGAGGGCAAAGAAGAACCTGGAATGACAGCATCAATAAATGGGCACGACTAAGTTATCATACACTTATTTATCAAGCGGAAGACAGATAAAGATTACCTGTTTTATGTGCTAGTGCTTCCATCAATACACCTCCACGACCCTAATAGTTCAATGTTTATGTTATGTTTCTGCCGAATGTGGGGCTGCGTATTCTACAATGCTGCCAATGTTTTGTGCAATGGAGAGGATGAAGTTTATCTCTAGCCGTGAGAAACACAAATGCAAACAAAAGGACATAGTCTCAACCTTGAGTTTACTCTAGAGAAACAAACAGTTTTTTAATGTAGTCGATTCTGTGTTTCAGTTTGAAGAGTTCATTTATTTGCTCCATTTTCATAGATTGTTACTATAGTATGCACTTGGCGAGATATAGTGAAATATGCTAAGCAATAAATTGTGCAGTCAGTTGTTTGTGTCTTCTTTGTTCAAATATTATATATTACAGGGGTTTTATTAACTAAGGTAAATACAACCTAGTACTAAAATACACTCATTGAATTAGATAAAATAAGAAGTATTTAACCTCACTTGACCTTCCTAAGAAGAGTCGAGTACCTAATAGGTTGGTTCCAACAAGGGAGGAAGAGGAGATATAAATGTTTAGAGGGAGAATTCTCTTCCCAAGAAATAAAAACTTGGTTGAGGCTCATCGGGTTTAACTTTTTTCTAAAAATCTGTCCAATGACATTTTCTTCAGCATTTTTCTCTGGATGTTTCTGAAATGTGACATTGTCTGGTCATTCTTGACAAGGCTATTATGGCTTGTCTGGGCTCTGTTGGGGTGCAAGGTCACTGACATCTCCCCGCGGCTGTGTTTCGAGAGAAATAAACAAAGATACAGTGCCGTGTCGTGTTAATTTTGACGTGGGTCATATTCCCAACAGAGGTCGCACGTAAAGCAAAAGTGGTCGCGTCTGAACGGGATGTATACCAAGTCGAACGTATATCAGTCGGAACAAATACCTAGTTATCTTTGTGTGTGTATGTGTGTGTGGGGGGGGGGAGGGGGTCTGTGAGTGTGTGTCCATTATGTATCTATATTGTGACAAGAGAAATGATGATGTAAGTTCTTTCTGACTGGCAATGAAAACTCAGATACAAATGTACATGACCTGTTTTAATCCTACAGCAAGGAGACAGACAGAAAGCCACCGAGATGTACAAGATGGCCGTCAGCTTAGGTATGCAGTGTTGGTGGTGTTGGTCTCTCCTAGTGTCACAACACTTCGTTCCTGGTGATAGAACAAATACAGCTCACTAGAATCTCTACAAGCGATAAACACCCCATCGCACAAAGTGCTACCATGCGGATGAGGATAACCCGTGGAAAGGTTCCGGAAACTGCGTTCAGCCATAAGGCCACATTTATGGCCGGGCTATATTGCGGCCCCTGGAAAGAGCCAGAGTGGGGCTTCAAAATAACTCACACACAAATGCATCTCACAAGCAGATGACTAGGTTGTTATTGGAATAAGAGAGTTTTCCCATGTTAGTTGAGGACTGTTGACAGTTTTTAGTAAGTTGCTTAAATACGGTACTATCATTCATTTTATTTTTACTACCGTAGCAACGTACGAACGGCGACACAGGCGGACAATTCTTATCAGCTGTCCGTACTGGTGACAGAGCACTTAAGGTTTATAACCGTGTGCAATGACGCTGGTTCACATCTCCCGACTTTAGCTTTACCTTTATTTGGAGAGATATGGTTAGACAAGCGGAGATCGACTGCATAAACAATAAACTCTCCTTTCACTGAAGTTAATGAAGCCACATGAAGCTGCTTTAACCAATGAGAGCAGTTAACACATAAATCACATGACTGATAAGTTGCTAAAACAATCCCCCAGGAATTCCGTCTGGTGGCAGTCAATTTGCAAGCATCAAGTGGTCAGCTCAGGAAAGCTAGGTATATTTAACGTGTGACACGCGATCGCATAGAAAATTGTGTGTGGTGAACCCAATAACTTCAATTAGAAGTTTGGAAGTGTTCATAGAAATATTTCCTCAATTCACCTTACCAGGTAGCCTTTAATGTTGAGGAGTACGCATAAGTAAAATAACGAACACTTTCCACTCCTTCAAGGGTATAGGACATATAGGGTTAGCCTGTATTTTATTGACAACACTTGATGTGGCCAACATAACCCCGGCTCCTAGCCGCTACACCACGGCTGCTTCACCCCCCCCCCTACCCCCCACCCACCCTCGTTGAGGATTGCGGACATTGTTCAAGGTCATGTCTGATACGAGCCATAGACACTGACGAATGTAAAGAGCTGAAAACCTTCCAAATGTCGTTTCGTTTCCTTGCTATCTTCTATCACAGACAGTTTGTATAGTAAACTTTTATACTGAAATTATAAGTTTCATGACTTCCGTCCAAAAATGTCTTTGCGGAACTCCTTCAGGCTTAAGTATTTATTGTATTCAAGCCCAACACCTTACAATAGGAAGGGTTAAAGTAATAACTGCTTGAGACAGAATTTAAAGCATCGAAGACTGATCAATTGGCAAAGCCATGCACATTCAAGAACCATCAGCATGATGACCTCTCCGTTACTTGAAGATCAATAAAAGTCTGTACTGATGACTGGCGTTCTATTTGAAAACTGTGTAAGAGACATCAGCTGCGAAATGAAGCCAAATGAACTGCCAATTCTACTGGTTATGGACAGCTGTCATGTCCGCCCCTGCCAATTCTATTGGTAGTGGACAGCTGTCATGTCCGCCCCTGCCAATTCTACTGGTAGTGGACAGCTGTCATGTCCGCCCCTGCCAATTCTACTGGTAGTGGACAGCTGTCATGTCCGCCCCTGCCAATTCTACTGGTAGTGGACAGCTGTCATGTCCGCCCCTGCCAATTCTATCGGTAGTGGACAGCTGTCATGTCCGCCCCTGCCAATTCTACTGGTAGTGGACAGCTGTCATGTCCGCCCCTGCCAATTCTATTGGTAGTGGACAGCTGTCATGTCCGCCCCTGCCAATTCTACTGGTAGTGGACAGCTGTCATGTCCGCCCCTGCCAATTCTACTGGTAGTGGACAGCTGTCATGTCCGCCCCTGCCAATTCTACTGGTAGTGGACAGCTGTCATGTCCGCCCCTGCCAATTCTATTGGTAGTGGACAGCTGTCATGTCCGCCCCTGCCAATTCTACTGGTAGTGGACAGCTGTCATGTCCGCCCCTGCCAATTCTATTGGTAGTGGACAGCTGTCATGTCCGCCCCTGCCAATTCTACTGGGAGTGGACAGCTGTCATGTCCGCTCCTGCCAATTCTACTGGTAGTGGACAACTGTCATGTCCGCCCCTGCCAATTCTACTGGTAGTGGACAGCTGTCATGTCCGCCCCTGCCAATTCTACTGGTAGTGGACAGCTGTCATGTCCGCCCCTGCCAATTCTATTGGTAGTGGACAGCTGTCATGTCCGCCCCTGCCAATTCTATTGGTAGTGGACAGCTGTCATGTCCGCCCCTGCCAATTCTATTGGTAGTGGACAGCTGTCATGTCCGCCCCTGCCAATTCTACTGGTAGTGGACAGCTGTCATGTCCGCCCCTGCCAATTCTACTGGTAGTGGACAGCTGTCATGTCCGCCCCTGCCAATGCTATTGGTAGTGGACAGCTGTCATGTCCGCCCCAGCCAATTCTACTGGTAGTGGACAGCTGTCCCGTCCGAACCCTGCCAATTCTACTGGTAGTGGACAACTAGCTTTTTTTTTTTTTTTGAAGACTAATGACTGCGATATTAGAACCCTATTTTCAAAAACCACAACAAAAAATGTCAGATTTCCCCACAAGTGACAATTTGCAACCCTCTTGAATTAATAATTTATGTGATTAAACTCAATCACCAAACTGATGTTAAGGTTCCTAACGAATCGTATTTCTTAACATGTCTTTTTAACTTCAGATCCCCAAAACGTCCAAGTCAAACAACTGGAACGGGAATTAGAATTCAGACCACCACTGGCTGTCGACCCAAGCACGCAGAGACCATTCAAAGAAGAATTAGGACGTCTATGCAAGCTACAAAATAAACTGACAAAGGTATTCTGATGTGTTGTATTTGTTTCCAATAGTATTTGTTGTATTTGTTTCCAAAAGTATTTGTTGTATTTGTTTCCAATAGTATTTGTTGTATTTGTTTCCAATAGTACTTGTTGTATTTGTTTCCAATAGTATTTGTTGTATTTGTTTCCAATAGTATTTGTTGTAAATGTTTCCAATAGTTTTTGTTGCATTTGTTTCCAATAGTGTTTGTTATATTCGTTTCCAATGGTATTTGTTGTATTTGTTTCCAATAGTATTTGTTGTATTGTTTCCAATAGTATTTGTTATATTTGTTTCCATCTGCCTGGATCTGCCCCACTGGGTGGTGAACTGATAGATGACAAGGCAGATGTGGTCAAGGCCCTTTGGGAACAAGTACGGAATCAGTAGAGAAAAAAAGAGTATTATGGCCTGGAGAGAAAAAGGCACCTGGGTGTAACCCGAAGGTCTGGCCGGCTCACTACACTCAGAGGAAAGGCACGACAGACATTAACCAGATTGTGAACGATACCATCAGTATTGGAACTTAGCGCGGCTGCTTAAGATGAGGACGAGGCACGCATGGGAATTCCCCAGGTGCTGTGATGCCAATTCTTGACTTAACTTGTTTTTTAATAGTATATAACGCCCATCACGGCCGACTCGAGCATAATAGTGCGTCTGTATACCTAGACATAAAGATCTGAGCTTGTAGATAACAGAATATAGTATTTCCGAACCGAGTCTGAATGAATGTTTCATTATTAACCTCGCCATACAAAATAGGAAGACGGCGATACAAGTGGGAAGGGGCGGGGTTAACATCAAGAGATATATGAAAGGCAGTCTGATAGAGTGTATAATCAAATGGACAGGGATGAGAAAATATAACAGCCACCCTTAATTAAGGAAACGGTTCCTGATCGGTTCCTTTATTGATTGATTTGATTTGATTGTTTGAGTTCAGTAAGCGAGCGACAGGTTAATGTGATGATTGTCTGATTTGATTGCTTGAGCGGCGTGAGCGAGCAACAGATTAATGTTATAATTGTTGAGTTGATTGAATAATTAGTTGATTTAATAATTTGATTGACTGATTGGCTGATTGACTGATTGATTGATTGATTGTTTGGCTTATATGGGAAAGCTCCTTATCATCACGTTGCAGATTTTTTGGCAGAACATCGCTCTCAACACGGTCTGATTCAAAGATACGCGGTCTCTCACCAGCTCTCCTGCCTCGTACACTTCCATATCCAAGGAGCCACTTATATCTTCTTTCCATCTTCGTGTTGGTCGGTCCCTGCCCCTCCTTCCTAGTACCTCGCCATCTCCTCTTATTTTCCCTATCTTTCGTCATGGCATGGAGGGGTTCCAGCACATGAGCACAGATACGTGCTGTTGGAGATCACAGGTCGTGAACTGGCATGGAGGGGTTCCAGCACATGAGCACAGATACGTACTGTTGGAGATCACAGGTCGTGAACTGGCATGGATGGGTGGCACATGAGCTTAGATACGTGCTGTTGGAGATCACAGGTCGTGAACTGGCATGGATAGGTGGCAGCACAAAAGCACAGATACGTGCTGTTGGAGATCAAAGGTCGCGAACTGGCATAGATGGGTGGCAGCAAATGAGCACAGATACGTGCTGTTGGAGATCAGAGGATGCGAACTGGCATGGATGGGTGGTAGCACGTGAGCCCAGATACGTGCTGTTTGAGATCACAGGTCGTGAACTGGCATGGATGGGTGGCAGCACATGAGCTTAGATACGTACTGTTGGAGATCACAGGTCGGGAACTGGCATGGATGGGTGGCAGCACATGAGCACAGATACGTGCTGTTGGAGATCACAGGTAGCGAACTGGCATTGATGGGTGGCAGCACATGAGCTTAGATACGTACTGTTGGAGATCACAGGTCGCGAACTGGCATGGATGGGTGGCAGCACATGAGCCCAGATACGTGCTGTTGGAGATCACAGGTCGTGAACTGGCATGGATAGGTGGCAGCAAATGAGCACAGATACGTGCTGTTGGAGATCAGAGGATGCGAACTGGCATGGATGGGTGGTAGCACGTGAGCCCAGATACGTGCTGTTGGAGATCACAGGTCGCGAACTGGCATGGATGGGTGGCAGCACATGAGCTTAGATACGTACTGTTGGAGATCACAGGTCGGGAACTGGCATGGATGGGTGGCAGCACATGAGCACAGATACGTGCTGTTGGAGATCACAGGTAGCGAACTGGCATTGATGGGTGGCAGCACATGAGCTTAGATACGTACTGTTGGAGATCACAGGTCGCGAACTGGCATGGATGGGTGGCAGCACATGAGCCCAGATACGTGCTGTTGGAGATCACAGGTCGTGAACTGGCATGGATAGGTGGCAGCACAAAAGCACAGATACGTGCTGTTGGAGATCACAGGTCGCGAACTGGCATGGATGGGTGGCAGCAAATGAGCACAGATACGTGCTGTTGGAGATCACAGGTCGCGAACTGGCATGGATGGGTGGCACATGAGCTTAGATACGTGCTGTTGGAGATCACAGGTCGCGAACTGGCATGGATGGGTGGCAGCACGTGAGCACAGATACGTGCTGTTTGAGATCACAGGTCGTGAACTGGCATGGATGGGCGGCAGCACATGAGTTTAGATACGTACTGTTGGAGATCACAGGTCGTGAACTGGCATGGATGGGTAGCAGCACATGAGCTTAGATGCGTACTGTTGGAGATCACAGGTCGTGAACTGGCATGGATGAGTGGCAGCACATGAGCTTAGATACGTGCTGTTGGAGATCACAGGTCGTGAACTGGCATGGATGGGTGGCAGCACATGAGCACAAATACGTGCTGTTGGAGATCACAGGTCGTGAACTGGCATGGATGGGTGGCAGCACATGAGCTTAGATACGTACTGTTGGAGATCACAGGTCGTGAACTGGCATGGAGGGGTTGCAGCACACTAATACTGGTACATGCTGTTGGAGATCACAGGTCGTGGACTGCCATGATAATTATGAAAGACAGACAATATTTGTTTTCAATATTAAAGTTTTGGTGTCAGCAGTAGTATAGCTACAAGACGCTCGTTTACCGGAAGATCTTGAGTTCGAATCACCTATAAAAAGTGGTGGAAAAGCAATGTTTTTGGCTCAGGTCAGGCCCCAACCTAATATGGGTAGTAAAAGTTAGTTGCGTATCCTTTACAGGACGCAGCAGAACCTCCTATTTTTGGCTGTTGTGATTTTTTTAAGGCAAATTTTACCTACATTAGTTTGCCTTTGCCAACTGAACGGTCATCTCTCCTCACTACTGTCAAAACCAACGCAAAACGTTTTGCGGCCATGTCGCTTGCAACTGGGATCGAACTTGGCAACCCGGCATTGCGAAGCACGTTTGCAACGCCTAAGCCACAGACGCAGACCTAAATTGGGTACAGTGTCATACCTCTGGAAGTAAAGGTGGCCGGCATGATGTTGACCACACCACCCATCAAATCCCATAGTCAATAACAAATCTGAGCTTGACATCATATACCCTGTTGGCCACTTACGTAAAAATGTTCTGTACTTTTACTCTAACCGAGTTATTACTTTTTTGACCAAATTTTGGTGTACTATCAGCTCCCGCGTATCTTGTGTTTCAGAACAAGTTTGACCGGAGATTGAACTGCACATATAGACAAGTCCTGCTCCCCTACTATAGGTTTAAAATGGAACTAATTTCTGTGACGCCTTATGTGGCTCTTTTCTTTGACGTCATCACAGATGAAGAAATCAACGGTCTGACAAATTATGCGACTGATAAGGTGAGTAAATGAATGTATCCACTTTACAATTACAAACATATGTTATCACAATCGGTGTACCTGAGCATTGGGCATCCCATCCCTTTGGTGAAGCAGCCATTCTAATATACCTCTATTGATTGTGTCCAAGAGAAGCCGGTTTGAGTGTTTCTCGACTTTGCTTCGAAGACGGCATATAGATGAGTCATCAAGCTTTGCTCCCAGCTCACGCAATCAAGAGAAGCAAGCCCGTAGTCAGCGTTGATAACATCAGTTCAGTCTTCTTGTATACATTGGGGCATTACTTGCCAGCTGATCAGCTCATTCATTACCTTTTACTACTGCAATTCCAGATGTGTAGATCCACGGGGCTGAAGCTAATTGCGACTTCAGACAAATAGCCATACAGAAACATGTGTTTCTTATTTGTTCCCACGTCACTTACTGATTTTAATATCTTACTAATTTAAACGTTCTTTTAAATGTAGTCTTTCTGTACATTGCAAATTATCAGTTAGCTTATTTATTTTCATAATTTCTTATATGAAAACTATAGCAGCTCAGAGGCTAAAAGGTTGTGGGTTGGCCAAATAGGTAGACGCTCTTTACTCTCCTAATGGGGCCACCTCTATGTCAGCTTGGAACCTGCCTGGACTCAACCAAAAAAGGCTAAAATCATCTAATGAAGGTAGTGGGCATTGGTGAGGTTTCCATGACTGTACCCAGCGACATATGGGGGACGGGGGGGGCGGGACGGGGGGGGGGGGGGCTGTGCTTCCACTCCCCAGCAATTTTGTAGGTAGACTAAAATGGGACTGGCAGCTTTTAACGCCTTTACAAATTTTTTTTCCAGTTATTTGCTTATACTTTTTATTTTACATAGGTACTCGAAACATGTTCGCTTTGGAGTACGTTCACTTTGTTTTACGTCCTGTTTAGACGAGAAAAATGTGTCTTGGTATACAGCCTTTGTTTGGCACACGAATTTGTACGAGTCAAAAGCAGCCACCACAGCTTTGTTTACTTCTCTAGAGACAAAGCCACGGACAGGTGTCAACGACTGTGTAGAATCACCCAAATAAAGC